CCAGTGTTTATAGACGGGACAACTTTGTTCGCAAATCTTATATTTTTGAAACTTGTGCTCACTTTCGCGGGATTCCGTCTTCCGATTTCCGGCTGTCGTGACTTTCTGCGTTTTGGTTTTCTTTTATGTTGATGAGTGGTGCGATTTACCTTTTTGTGTACTAGTACTTTTCAGTATTTCCCCTCAGTACTTGAAAAACCACTGAATAATGCGAAAAGAAAATCGCTGAAAACTTTTATCAAAGAATACTGTGATCTTGACCTGGTGAGCCTTCTTTGAAATGTGCTTTCTTCTAATCCGACGTTCTTTTATGTAATAGTGAATGTTATTCCAGAGATACTTATTCCACACAAAACGCTTTCTATGTATTGTATATGTGCTAAGAAGTATTGCGTTGGACGAACAAGGATATCTGGAGATACTGCAGAACATGCGCAGCTCCCAAACTCATGTCGCTTCACGAGAACCGTTTTCTCTGACAGCTGTGATGAGATACAAGTGGGTCGATCACTGTTCCAAAGGCGCACCGTTTTGGAACCATCCCCTCCACAAGAGCGATGGTCCCAGGATGGGGCCGTCACCTCCTAAATTGATTCAATATTTTTCTGCTGAGATGTAGTTTACCAATTTTCAATGTTTGAGGGCAATCTACAGTTTCAATTTCAGTTGTGAATATCTCGGATTCCTTTTGTCGTTCCGCCGTAGTCTACTGGATGACGATCACTATGAACAGCGGTCTATACTGCTATCGAGTCTGGCCGCAATCATACGATTGATCGATGAAAAATTTCTTGAAGAAGTTAGTGCTGGTCTCCGAGTAATGAGATGCTATTCTTTATTTGTTTATTATTTGTAGACATGCAATAAGGTGATGGTGGTTCTTCGTGCCGCTACAGCTGTCGGTGAAGGAGCGATAGCCGTTTGGAATGAATTTGTACGCCGACTGGGGGACAGGTCGGTGCTTCATATAGAACAGCATGTAGATGGAGCTGATAACAAGCAGTTTTCCTTAAAAAGTTGAACAGTTAAAGCACTCAGCGTTAAAGCACTCACTTAGCCCTTCGGCGTTGGACCGCGGAAAACACGTTTTGGTCAGATGGTAATGTGTCCATCGGTTGTCACGTTCAGTCCACGCTAATCGAATGGGCGGAGACAGTCAACCATTTTGTCCGGCGCCTCCCTTGCTCTATAGTGTAGGGCGGAAGTAAGGAAAATTGACTGTCGTTATCCGTGCGCTTAGCATGAAGTGTGCCTTCAATATCTATGCGCACATGAAGTAATAATAGCTCACGAATACGTATTCTACTAAGAAGAGGGCACGTGCCTCCATTCAAGGGAATTTTCGCTAGTGCCTCCCCCGCCCCATCACCCCCAAATTTTCTCCCACTGGTACTACGCTCTTCCACAATAGACTAGTTGGGGAAGGTGTAATGTGCGAAACGAAAAAAATCATCAATCGGAAGAAAATGCGACTCCCCTCAACAAACCACCCTTTGAGGAACCTTAACAACGATATGCCGTGCCTCCCCCCCCCCCCCAATTTTTATACTTACTGGATGTCACTCTGCACAGTTCTTGATAACTAAGCTCCTTAACAGTTGGCAGTCCTACTCACTTCCCTAATCGGTTAATGTTTTCTAAGCTCCAATTTTTGGCGTCTTATGGGGATTTTTCGCGAGTTTCAGGATGCTTGCCACTTTGTTGCCGAAAATCCTGATCGCCATTCAACCATTGCTGAAGTTCCCGGCCACAAACGACTTGTTGGACAATATCTTCGACCGAAGAAAACCGTTGGAGATCGAGCAGAGGTATATTTCCTGCCGCTATTCAGCCTAATTGGTACTTTTTCCAGAACCCTTTCATTTCTATAATTTTCTGAAAATTCCGCCTGTTGTAGAATTGGGCAGACATTTCACCCCGGAGGTAAAAATCTGGCCTGATTTCCGAGAAGCGAGGCGGAAATGGAAAAACAACGTCTTCTATGATTTTTCTCGGGAGAAGTTTTATTCTATTAATTTAAGAATATATTTAGCGAGGCTTTCGAGCGGACCGCTATGGTGCTGGTAAACAGTGAAGCTGGGGATTCGTCTCGAATCAATTTCCA